CCATTCCAGTGTCTCCTTGTAGGTGACGAGTTATATCTTGCTAACAAGTTGGTAGCAAAAGATATATCTGGTCTGGTGCAATTAGCAAGATACATAAGAGCCCCTATTGCACTCATATATGGTATCTCAGGACCAAGTATTTCTTCATTTTCTTCACAAGGTCGAAATGGATCATTTTCAACATCCAATGTTCGATTAACCATAGGAGTACTAAGGGGATTAGCTTTGTCCATATTAAATCGTTTCAGTACTCTTTTAGTATAGTTAGATTGATGGACGAATAACCCATTTTGTACTCTCTCTATCTGTAAGCCAAGGCAATATTTAGTTTTTTCGAGATCTTTCATTTCAAATTCGTCTTTCAGAAAAGTAACTGCTTCTCGAATTTCATTTGCTGTCCCAATAATATTAAAATCATCAACATAGACAGCAATTATCACAACTCCATCATGTGATTTCTTTATGAAAACACACGGACATATTTGATCATTCAAGTATCCCCTTTTTAGTAATTGTTCACTCAAACAATTATACCACATACGCCCGGATGGTTTTAAGCCATACAATGATCTTTGCAACTTTAACGCACATAACTCCTTAGGTTTTGAGTTCAGTGCTTCGGGCATTCTGATTCCTTCTGGGACTTTCATGTATATGTCGGTGTCTAATGATCCATACAAGTAAGCAGTCACAACATCCATGAGACGCATCTCAAGATTTTCATGGGTAGCTAAACTCATCAAGTATCTGAAAGTAATTGCATCCATGACAGGGGAATATGTTTCATCATAATCGATCCCAGGCCTTTGGGAGAATCCCTGTGCAACAAGGCGAGCTTTATATCTCGTGATCTCATTATTCTCATTTCTTTTTCTGGTGAAAACCCATTTGTATCCAATGGGTTTTATGCCTTTTGGTATAATGGAAATAGGCCCAAAAACTTTTCGTTTATTTAGTGAATCTAACTCGGCTTGAATGGCGCCTTTCCATTTATCCCAGTCACGTCTTTTCTGACATTCAGCTACAGATTTTGGTTCAGGATCCTCAACTTCATTATCAATTTCTTTTGATACCATATATGCGAATGCATCATCATTATTCATGATCTCATCACGCTTCCAAAGATTCCCATTGTTCACGTAATTGATGGAAATCTCAATATTTTCATTTTGTCCCGAAATTTTTCCATCATCTTGATTCCTTTTCAAATTGGAGTCAAGAATTTCTCTTTTCTTTCGAGGATTCTTATCTTTAGACCCGACTGGTCTTCCTCGTTTCAAGCGTGTCTTTGACTCATTTGGCTTATCGTCATTTGCCATTTCTTTTGGAATCTCAATTCGAGCAGGGGCATTTACGGCTACCACATGTGATTTGGTCACCCTTTTTAAATCAGTAAATGCATCTGGCAATTGATTTGCAATATTCTGCAAATGTATGATCTTTTGAATTTCTTGCTCTCTTTGTTTGGTGGGAGGATCAAGATATGATAATGCGGATGTTCTCCATTCAATATTTCTCTCAATTGACTTTTCATTCCCACCTAAAGGGGGAAACAATTCTTCATTAAAATGACAATCATCAAAACGAGCTGTAAAAACATCACCTGTTTTTGGCTCAAGGTATTTGATTATTGATGGAGATTCATATCCAACATATATTCCCAACCTTCTTTGAGGCCCCATTTTTGTACGTTGTGGCGGAGCAATTGGTACATATACTGCACAACCAAAAACTCTTATATGTGCAATATTTGGTACTCGACCATATGCCAACTGTAATGGCGAGAATGTATGGTATGCACTTGGTCTTATTCGAATTAGATCATCTGCATGCAGAATAGCATGTCCCCATACTGAAGTGGGGAGTTTTGTTCTCATTATCAATGGTCTAGCTATAAGCTGCAGTCGTTTAATAAGTGATTCTGCTAGACCATTTTGAGTGTGAACATGTGCCACAGGATGTTCAACATCAATTCCCACAGCCATACAATAATCATTAAATGCTTGAGATGTAAACTCTCCAGCATTATCCAGTCTGACTCTCTTGATAATATAATCTGGGAATTGAGCCCTTAATTTAATAAGTTGGGCAAGTAATTTAGCAAATGCCATATTTCTAGTGGATAACAAACTTACGTGAGACCATCTACTAGAGGCATCAATCAACACCATAAAATATCTGAATGGACCACAAGGTGGATGAATAGGTCCACATATATCACCATGAATCCTTTCTAAAAATAATGGTGATTCATGTCCGACTTTAGTATGTGATGGTCTCATTATCAATTTCCCTTGAGAACAAGAGGCACATGTCAACTCATGTGTTTGCAATATCCTCTCATTTTTTAGTGGATGGCCACTAGAATTTTCAATAATTCGTCGCATCATTATCGAGCCAGGGTGACCAAGTCGATCATGCCAAAGTTTAAATATTTCATTCGACTTTGAATTTGTTGCAGCATATGCCTCAATTATATTAATCCGGGTATAATACAAACCCGAGGATAAAGCGGGTAACTTCTCCAAAACACATTTATTTCCCGCATTATCTGAGGTAATGCAAAGATATTCAACTCCCCCTTTATTCATCGTTTCAATGTGGTATCCGTTCGTTCGGATATCTTTAAAACTCAACAAATTTCTTGTTGATTTTGGGGAGAATAGTGCATCACTTAATATAAATTTTGTACCGCCCATCATAAAAAATATGGCTTTTCCAAAACCTTCAATTATCTTTGCACTTCCGGATATTGTGTTTACTTTTGCTTCATTTAATTTCAAGTTCACGAAATATTTTCTGTCCTTGAGGATAGTATGAGTAGTAGCACAATCTGCAATACATATATCTCCATCTTGAATTCGAGACCGATCCATGATCTAAAAGAAAACAACATTTATTATTGATCAAATTCAAAGTACAGATACAAGTAGCTCATACACAAATACATTACAACTCAAAAAGCAAAATAAAAACATGATCATCAGTTATTCTCTAGGTCATTTCCAGCTCCGTCTTCAAATGCCGCATCGGCAAAATCCAGTTTCAATATGTCATCGATGCCATAGTCATCATCCACACGCGTTGCATCATTTTCAGAGGATTCCCCAACCATAAAATTAGTTTCTATATTCTTATCTTTTGATTTCTGGGAATCTTGGTATTTTTCAACCTCGTGCCTTGGGGCTCGACAATTTCGAGCCCAATGGTTATTTCTACCACATCGATAGCATGCCTTTTCATCGTTATCCCCTTTATTATTTTCAGAATGTTTATGAAAATCATTTTTTCCATGTCCATGATAATTACCTCGGCCAGATTTGTATCCTGGGAAAAAATTTCGGCCTCGTCCATAATTTCTATCTGGACCATATCCACGTCCACGTCCACGTCCACGTCCACGTCCACGACCACGGCCACGTCCCGAGGTATATCCACGCACATTTGTTTGGCTGTTTTCATTTCCGGTTCCCTGTTTAGATATTACAGCATTTATTTCAGGGACCGCAGTAGACCCCGTGGGTCTAGATTCATGATTTTTCATCAACAGCTCATTATTTTGTTCGGCTAGCAACAAGCAAGAAATCAGCTCAGAATATTTCACAAAGCCTTTTGCTCTGTATTGTTGCTGCAAAAGTACGTTTGAAGCGTGGAATGTGGACAACGTTTTTTCAAGCATATCGTAATCAGTTACGTTTTCCCCGCATAATTTCAATACCGAGCAAATGCGGAACATGGCTGAATTGAACTCGTTTACAGTTTTAAAATCTTGGAAGCGTAAGTGCATCCATTCATAACGAGCCCGGGGGAGAATTACTGTTTTCTGATGATCGTATCTTTCTTTCAAAGCTTTCCAAAGATCCGCAGGATCTTTCACAGTTAAGTATTCATTTTTCAATCCCTCATTTAAATGGTGCCGCAGAAATATCATTGCTTTAGCTTTATCTTGTATTGATGAATTATTTGGGGAGATTATTGTTTCTCCCAATCCCCTCGCGGCCAAATGAATTTCGGCATCCAGTGTCCATGAAATATAATTTTTTCCCGAAATGTCAAGAGCCTCAAATTCAAGTTTGACCAGATTTGCCATGATAACTATAAAATAAAACATCAATGCTTATATTAGAGAAAATTACATTATACAATCATTAATTCTCCATAACGTACAGAAAAACAAATAAGAGACACATCATACAAAAACCTAATACATAAAGTATAAATTCAGTGGTATGATACATCATCGTGAAAATTCCCAAAGTGTAAAAAATAAACAATATAATGGTAATTATAAATAGTAGATGAAAACTTTTTTTTTCGTTTGAGGGAAATATATTTTAGTATTTGAAATGAGTGTTAATATATGAAGTGTAGTGTGATATATATATAAGTTGATAAGTAGCCGTTGCAATATAGCCGTTATGTAGCCGTTGGGAACAAATTAATGATATAATATTTGTTAGTTAATCATTCATGATTATAAAATACTAATTAATCATGTATATTGTCTTAAAAATTCATCGAGCCACTATGTGAACAATTTAATGAATATAAGTGTCAAAACAAATAAAAATGTCACTCCACACTACTCGATAAATCTTTCGGTGGGTACAAATATAAGCAGTTATAAATTTCACACCACATTACTGGGTAAACCCTTTTGCGGGTGTGAAGTACAAGTAATAATATTATATATTTTTAATTATAACATGAAGTCATTTCTTAATCATTAGTAATCCATAAGTAAATTTGATAATATCAACTTACCACATATTATTGACTATGGAAGAGCCGTACTTGCCAATAATAATGGTAATATGTAAATTAGTATAATGTTATATTTAGTATATTCATACCACATATTCTTGACTATGGCAGAGCCGTACTTGTCAAAAATAATGGTAATATGTAGATTAGTAAAATATACTGAGTTTATGTAATGTATATACATATTAGTATATTCCTACCTTTCGGACTGGGTAGAGCGTTCGTGCTGATAACGTGTTATAAAAACGAGAAAGATATAGAACACAAAATAGAAACCGGATAGAAATTATACTGAATATTTCTTTCTTCTTCTAAAATGAGCACCCTTTCACTACATTTGCATTGCCTTTTATAGGCAAATTCTACCGACACTTTGAACATAAATTATTCATATCCCATACTCCATTACTATTCACACATGTTGGACTCACTATTTATGAATAGTGGTACATTCCACTTGTTCATAACAAGATACAAATAAGATTTATTTAGAACTTTAAATCTCAGAGTGCGTTGCCTTTTATTATTTCACCTCTACAATAGAGATACAAATAAGATTTATTCTCCAGAAAATACACTCGAGCAATGTAAAGTTGGGAGGCCACGATTAACAACTCAAATTAGCAGTCACCTTAATATCTGTTGATAAGATTCTTCCAAGCATCCTTGTTTTCAGAATAGTACTTGATCTCAGCCTGCAAAGTCAGGCAAAATATGTAAGCTTCTATAACTTTATCTGGCTGAGGCTCATATTTAGTCGGAACTAATTTTAACAGTCGTATATCGTTAAATCAAAATTGACACATTGGCATATAACATATGCATTAAATAAGTTGTTGTCACCTTCCTAATCCCTCTAATTGCAACCAAAAGCTTTTCACCAATTAAATCTCTCATCACCGAGTCTATTTCCAGGGCCTCAACAGATTCTGAGAGTGATTGAGGTAGCCGTTGAACTTTATCTTTGACATTGTCAGGATTATCATCTGCCGGCAAAGGAAAAAAAGACGAAAGAAGAAAGAATGAAAAAACGCACGTCTACTGTCAATAGAATGTGAAAAATGACGATTTCTGAGCACTTAAGGTGGTTGTGTTAAAGGACCATCAACTCGATGAGGAGATTACAATACAAGACTCTAGTGTCCATACACAAATACAATAAACTGCGCGGAACTTTGTAAATAAATAAGCTATACTGAGGTTGAATCAATACTAATAATAATAAATTTGGAAAATTACAAAAAATATTAATGGGGTTTCATTCCGTTTTCATAGTATGGATTCAACTAGTTTTTATTTGGTTTGTTTTTTAACTATAGTTAATTTTAGAAAAAGGTGGTATGGTTAGTTGTTAGTGGATATATTAAATAATATTTAAAAATAATAATTAAAGTTGATTTGATGTAAAGTAAGAGAAAAATGATTGGAAATGATAGTTAGTTAAAATTATGTGAGTGGATGAATAGTGAATTAAAATTGATGTGATGTGTAAAAATGATTGTTTGATATTATTTAATTATATTGATAATATTGGAGATAGTGGAGTTGAGTTAAAGTTGAGTTAAATTTGAGTTTTGATTAGTTTTTTTACTGTTCAAACCATATCCAATCGCCCCCTTAGTTGATATGGTGATATGGTGGTATTAGCTAATGGCACAACAAAGTATGTTTACAGTTCCATTGCTCAATCTTTCTAAAATATTACAGAGTATGATTCAGAAAGTAAAGGGGTGCAATTGTAATATATTGATGAAAAGTAGATGCTGCTTGAAATGTTACAAGACACATATATACCATGTCACAAGAAAACAGCACCCCCTTGTTTATCACTTTTCAGTGTAACTTAACACCGAATAACACATCAGCCACAACGCTAATGATGTGTTTGGTAAGCATATAAGTTAGCTTATAGCTTATTTGATTAGCTTATAAGCTTTCTGCATTCAAATAAAGTTTAGTTTGGTAGGATGCGTTTTTTTAAAAAGCTCGAGCTTATCTCATAAGCTTTCTTGCGTAGCTTTTCAAATAAGGTCATTGCAATTTTTATTTCACCTAGCTTATTAGCTAATTTTACCAAACACTTTTATCATATAAGCTAGCTTTTCAGCCATAAGCTATCAGCTCGAAATTCACTTATCAGCTTATAGCTAGCTTATCAGCTAGGTTTACTATATGCGATGTCAATGTTTTAGAAGTCACTTATTCTTACCGATTGGTTCGGGCAGGCCCAACTGTCTGCGTAGGCCATCTATTCCAGCGGCAATTATGGCAGCCAGACCCAGATAAGGATTTGCACAGCCATCAAATACCTTTATCTCAAAGTTGCTTACATGGCCATCTGGGGTGCCAGGTGGGCAAGCAGCTCTAAGTGGAGCTTCTCTATTTTCCGTGCCCCAGCACAGGTATGCCCCACTCCATGTGTTGGGTTGTATACGATCATAGCTGNCAGATGCAACATTTTTCTTCATTAACATTCAAGGGAATGAGCTGAACATATTTATTTGATCAAGAGAGGTAATTATTTCTAACTTGTTATGTCCATATTTCCCAATCTTTTCAAGTCCAGACAATTTAGACTTTTCATAGGTCTATATAATTTATGATATTATCAATTGAACAAAATGTAATGTATTAATAAATCCAAAATCTAAAAATATTTACAGTAAATTAATCACGCATTCATAACAACTTTTATCTCCTTTTATCGACTTGAGAATTTGTTAGTAAAATTTTTATCATTCAATACTTCTACCTATGATGTCTGACAAACTCACTTCTAACATGCACATAATTTTTCTAGTCAGTATGAATCATCTTGATGTATCATCAATCGTGAATAAAGTTTAGAGAGTGTTACCTATTTGGGACTGGTGCTGTAAATGCCAATATCGAGGGGAGATGATTCAACACGCCGGACATGAACTCCTCCCCAATTGTAGAAATCCCATACTTGGTAGCTCCGTTTTGTGCCATAAACACATTTTCTCCATTCTTAGACAAACTTAAGTGTACATGTGAGCCAGAGCCAATATCATCGAGATTATATCTACAAAAGAGAACGATCATGTTTTCCCAATTT